TATATATATATATATATATATATATAAGTTTAGGGGCATCATCTATAATAAGGTAACAAATCAATTAAGCAACAATAAAATTACTTTTATAAGTAACATTATATACAGTGGTTTTGATGAAGTCTTACCTCCTCAGCAGTCTTTTGCTTGTGAATGTGGTCGTTCTCAAACAAAATTATTAATGATTCAGGATCCAGGGAGCGGTGGTACACAAAGCATCAACCAGTTTTTGTAGATTTGTACTTATTTTGATCCTGAAGTCAACAAAACTGCCCAATTACCCCAAATCAAACCAAACTGAACCATAAGGTTTGATTACCCGAAGTGTTTGGTTTTTTACTTACGTGGTTTGAGTTCATGTTGGGAAAAGAGCACACCAAAGGCTTCGGTTTGGTTTTCGAGTTGGGCCCAAAACCGAACCAACCTAACGCGAGCCCATGCCTAAATGCCACAATGTGAGTGCAACAGGAAACTCGTGAAAACGACTCACTCATTTTATTTTATTTTTTCAGCTACACAAGGATAATGATCACGTCACTGAAATTTGTTTCTTTTCTTTTTGGTAAATAGCATTGAGGGGGGATTCTTCTAGCTTGTAGCATTCGGGCCTTAGAGATGATGGGAGGCTGAAATTCTTCTACATGGTTGCCCTGTCACTGAAATTTGTTTCTTTTCTTTTTGGTAAATAGCATTGAGGGGGGATTCTTCTAGCTTGTAGCATTCAGGCCTTAGAGATGATGGGAGGCTGAAGTTCTTCTACATGGTTGCCCTAGCCCTGACAGTACCAGTTGTAAGAGGATGTGTTGAGGGGTACAACCATGTCGTTCAATAATAACTCTGTACGTGATCAGATGACTATTAAGAACCCCTCATTACAGTACATTGAGAGTCTTTTGTTGAGAGAGTCTTTTGTTCAAATGGAATGAGCTAAGCTACTTATAAATTTTTCTATATCCATACTCTTCTTAATCCATGTAATGTTTTTTTTTTTTGGAGGAAGCGTAATCCATGTAATGTAAATGCACGTTTAGAGGAGTAATTAGTTGCAAGGGGTTTGTAGCAAGTGGTTAAGAGAGCATTTAGGCTGAAGAGTAGCTTCAAATTTTAAGGAAATATAACCACTTCACATATCCCTCCCTCCCCCCTCCCCCACAAAGGCTGAAGCCCAAAACTTGTTCAATCTTAATATCAGAAATTAAAAAAGAAAGAAGAAGGAAAAAGAAAGGCCTAAATTGCTGAGAATACACAAGAGCAGCCCTGCATGAAACTCCTGGCTCTTTGGAATTTTTAGCAATCATGGTTGATGGCTGATTCTTATATTCTACTTTTAACAAACTGAATTTCTTATCAATGACATTTCTAAAATGAATACGAAGTTGGGAGCTAAAAATCAAGAGTCCCACTTTTTGAGGACACAGAACAACTCCCGGTAGTGCCATATGAACTCCCGCTTGAGCCATCAATAGGGGCTTGGTTTAGACATTCTAAAACCATAAACCTCCGCTTTTTCAACTTTATTGACAAGGTTGTTGCCTCAAGAATCACAGGAACCTGCTGACACGTTAGAAATTATAAATAACAATCGAGCCGAATTACATAATGAAGAAGCAGATCAGCAGGGAAAGAAATCAATTGAGAACAATGGTCGTACCTGTGTATTAAGACGTGCTACTTTCTGCACATTCAGAAGGCCAACCATGTCCTGGTAACCAGTAAGGAGTTTTTCCAATTCCTTGTCCTCGTCTGAATGAATTATCCAGATTAAAAATATCAATAAGTAAAGAAAGATTCATATAGATTATGGTTGACAAAATATTTGGCAGAGCAAAAGCAAATGTGAAAGCTGAAATTGACCTGGAATTGCTTTGACCGACAGCAAGGTGTCCGCCATGTGCTGCCATCTTTTACAGGAGGATGGCGAAAGAAGATTAGGTGGAAATGTCACAACAGCAACTGCATTTGAAGATCTAACCATGCCTTTTAGAGATCTAACAAAGGAAAGCATGTCCCATTCCTGCAATGCGATAGTACTATGCTCAACTTCAGAATCAAATTGCAGAGAGTTCAAAACAACAGGAAATGTTTTTTTATCCTATATCTCATATTTTGTTCTGACAAAAGGTTTTGGAAAAGGGGAAGGCAGTACAGAAACACTAACAACAAAACTGCTAAGCAGAGGAAACAAGAGGCATCCGTAAACCCGAGGCTAAATGTAATTAAGAGTTTAGGAGCAAATAACAACCACCACTAACCATGTTAGAAAATTCACACTGTGGAGCACAGAACGATTGAATGGCAATACGACCAACAGAAGAAATGCTTCCATCACTTCTGTATGTTCAGCCAAAAGAAGGAGAAAATGTTATGATCAGATATAAAAATTAAAAAATATACATATGACCATGACCATCTAAAATGCCTTATCAATAGTTTCATTACAAGCCAAGTAGTGCGTTTTTAATGAGAACTCTTAACGACTCAAATTTAGATTTTATACGAAATCAACAAGAAGCCATTAGAACTAAATGAAACTAGCAAAAAAACTGGCGGCAATCTCACATGAGTTTTTAAGATCAGAGAGGTTATAACTTATAAACATAGTTGTTAGATAAATAAAAAAAGAATGTGATAATTTCATTTCCTTGCATTAGCTGCAAAAATGAGTCAAATGACTACCAAAGCCATTTCAATTTTTTGAAATTTGTATTGGGCGCAGGCCAACCAACCACATATCATTTATCCTCTCCCCTCTCAAACATCCAAGCCAAAAAAACATGCTACTTTGACATTGTGAAAAACCAATCGATATGCATATATATTCACTAGCCAGACATGATTGAAGTAAAGGCATGAAAGCATATATCAATAGTACTATACCTTGGAAATTGAGATAAAAATGTGGCACAACGGTCATTAAGGGTAACAAGATTTGGAGAATCTTGAATGCTAACGCAATCTATATGCTTGCCACTTAGAAATTGCCTCTCCAAGGGCTTCCGCAAGTCAAATTCATTGCAGAACTCATGTTTTCCACCTGGACAGCGACAACATAACAAACTGCTCTTGAAATCTATACCAGCCATGAGCCAACAAGACATATTTCATATAAATAAAATAAGGACAAACTTGCCACCTTGACTATCAAAACTGTGCTGATTTTCACCAAAATACTTCTTATATTGCCAAGCTATCCTCAATCCTTTCTCCTGAAATTTTTGAAAACAAAGAATTAATTTCTTAATGTTCACCCAAAAGACCAGATTATGAACAAATACATAGAGAGAAGGATTGAAGAAGAGAACAACCTGGTCAGGATCTCGATGACTAGACTTATCATCTTTGGGTACTGCTGGACTAGGCAAAGTACCAAGAAATTGTCTTGGGTCCTTAGATGGGCTTGCATAGAGAAGGGGTTGATTGTGAACGAGTCCTTGAGACATAAAATTCCTAAGCAAGAGCATATGATGAGGTGCTTCCGCATCTTCCATCACCATGACTAGGCTTCCTAGAGAAAACCCACCACCTAAAATCTCTACAAACAAAAGAAAACTGAATAAAACTTCTATACAATAAAGATTATGCAATCATACAAAAACAAAATGATAAAACATTTCCAATTTAATCTCTCCAGATCAGTTTAACTAATTCCACAAAAGTAGTTGTGATAGGAGCTTACTATCAAGGTCTGGTATCCCAGATGAAATAAACGTTGTGCCATTAGGGCCATGCTTGAGTCCGGGGATTTGAGATGAGTTTGCAGATGCAAAGTTGCGGGAGAAGCTACTTGTCCGAGTCTTGGTCGCAGACATGGCTGCAGAATTGCTCTCTACCACTCTCAATCAGAGCATCCAAATAACAGGGGAGTGAAGATTGCAGCTCTGTCCTGAATAATAGATGCCTGCAGCTAAGATTTGCAAGAATAAAACAAAATTCAAAAACCTTATCAAATGGATAATAACCATCATCCAGTGACATAATTACCAGCTAAAGGAACAAAGAATACCACGTTAAATCTAATGACAAAATAAGTTACAACTACATACAGACCATTTTCAACAAGAACGCTGCAGCTTTTACCTTTAACAACTCAGAGCACTAACCTCACTCAGGCATTACGATTGGATTCCACTCAAAACGTTTAACTAAGTGTGTGTTTGGATGAGGGACTTTGAAGCTATGTTGCACCGGATACGGGTAAGGCAATACGATACCCCAATACGGCAAATCTCCAAAAACTAAGATATGGGTACGGCACCGATACGGCGATTTAAAAAAATATACAAATAGAAAGATTGATATTTCATCGATAAAAGTTCAAAACATTAACAAAATATAAGTCCATTTTGACACTTCCAACCTCACAAATTAACCACACAACAGCTTATTAAAGAATATACAGTCATCCCCACCCCAATATTACCCATATACCTATTATCTTCTTAACAACACAGCAGCTTATTAAAAGAATAGAAGAAAACCTTGAGCTGCAGCCAACCAAATGAATCTGAGATGACGACGGCGACGGGTGCGACGGCGAAGGGGTGCGACGGCGCTGGTTGCGACGGCGATTGCTGGTGGGTTCTCTTCCTTCTTCCTTCTTCTTTTTTGGTTACCGTCTGAAACGCCCAAAAGACCTCGCCTCTCGACACAGGCAGGGTCTTTAAAATTTTAAGTTTTAAGTTTACATTTTTAACCCCAAATATTCAATAACTTTCAAAATTACCCCTACATTTTCAAAATATTTTCGCTTTTACCCCTTCACGTATCGTGACCGTATCGCGTGACCGTATCGCGGGCATATCATAACCATATCGCCGGAGTATCAGAGCCGTATTGTAAAGTCAACAGCCCAGAAAAGCCTACGATACACCACATGGCGTATCAAATATGTATTGGGGCCATATCGGTGCAATATAATATCGACATCGTATCGAATACGCACATACCCTCAAAATATGGCGTATCGGTGCCACAGAGCTTTGAAGTGATGGGATTTCAAAATGATACGATTTTGAAGTGGAGGGACTTCAATGTGTTAGTAAAATTCCTTGTTTGGCTAATTATTTTGTTGGTGGGATTTCATTGGGGTAATTCATTGTAAATATATATAAAAATTTGTATTCTTTTTAGCGTTTCTTTTATTTTTTGCCTTTTTTAGCGGTTCCGTTTATTACATAAAGCAATAGTTCGAGTCATTTTAAATTTAAAAGCATAATTAATAATACATAATTGGAACTAAACCTCGCTTGAAATTAGTTTTCTAATCTTTTTTCATGAACTTCATGATAAAAGCCTTTTTTTCAAGTGAAATTTTGTCCCATCATTTGCTAGCAACTTGATCACATCCCTAACAAAACATTTCAAACAAATTAATCGATGGAAATGTCATGTGTCACAACCATCAAATATAAACAGAAACAATACAAAGTAAACAAATATGACTTTCCCATCCACTTATAATACAAATAAAACAAAACAGCTGCCACAATGAACTGCACCATGTTTAAATATATAGCAAAACAATTTGCTGCAAGCTAGAAATAATTCAAGAGACTAGAGAGCATAAATCATTCAACAGTTTAACAAGAGTCATTGAATATGTTGAACAAAGCTTCAAAATTCAGACATTACATTCAGATTTGCACATTGTTAGACAGGTATGGGAAACTTCATGCAAGAGCATCTAAGCTGAGCCGGAGAAAGATGTCAGCGCGGCATGATCTAGCTTAACCCGGAAAGCTCCTCCACACCCCATCACCTCTCTCCCAAATCACTTTTAGCTAATGTGGAAATCTCCTCCCAAGACAAGATGGAGCAGTAATAAAGGCGACTTTGGAGAAACAGACATGAAAACCAAGATCAAAACTCAAAAGAAAATGAAAATGAAAATGAGGTCTTATAATGTCTATGATAACAGAATAAGAGAGTGCAAGGCAACACTAACAAGCACAAACTAGAGAGTTTTGATTATTCCATCTATGAAGAGCAAATCATGTCTGGTTGTAACAAATTGGTATGGTTACTAAAGAAGCCGCACAATGCTTCACAGAGTTGCTTTAAAAAGAATTTTTTATACATAATAACTCATCCGCTATATATTCTGCCTTTCTTGTTTTGAAAATAGAAAGCACAACAATTCCAACTTGTTGCTAAACCAACAAATTAGATCTCAACTAAAGCATAATCAAGCACATAACTTTAGCAGGATTTTGCTACCCAACAAACTGAAGAGCATCGGAAGACCCGTGGGAAAACAAAGATGAATAGTGTTTTGCACTGTGGGCTCACAAAGCTAAATTGACCTTGTTTAAAAGCAGATAAAACTAGTGAAGCTAAATTTCTTGTCTTTTGCAATAAAACCCCCATTTGCAATAATACATGGCTTTTTCTATTGGTTTGACAAACCTCAGAAACAAATTCTCTTAAACCCAAAAGTTAATCAAACAGAGAGATCCATTTCAAACACATGAAAGCAAAATTTTTCATTCAAATGGAGAAAAACCCCAACAGCCCTGATTTTCCATATCTGCCATAAATTGAGCTCACCTGGCGCTGTTGCTGCACAATTGACAATCATGCATTCCACAGGCTTTAATCCAATCGAAAATAATACTTTTTGGCAAAAAGAAAATAGTAAATAATACTTTGAAGAAATACAGAATGAATGAACTCAAACAAATCGACATAGGTACAAAAGCTCAGTATCAGTAACATGCTGATGCAGTATATTAGACAGTAGAGTAATAAACATATACACAATTCATAGACCAAGAACAAAGTCCTCTTTCCAAGAAAAATCCAGAATTTTTTTTTTCAGAAGTACCAAATGAACAAGTACCCAACGGAACAAATCTGAACACACATGAATACCCTAACCCTTTATCTGAGAGAGAAACCCAAACCCAGTCAAAATTGAACCCCAAATCCATCAGAAATTGAACCAAAATCAGAGAAAACAAGTTGGAATTAAACATTGAAACCAATCGAGAGTCTGAGGAAATTTCAAGGGCAAAACTATGGCACATAAAATGGAAGCATTTGGATACCTTAAATTACAGCATAATGATAGAATAGAATCTATCGACAACAAAATCAGGGAAAACAAACAGAAGAAAATCTTGGTAAAACAAATAGAAGAAATCAAAAGAAAAAAGAAAGTAAGAAGAAGAAGAAGCCAATGAACAAAACTGACCTTGAAACCTTTTGTTTCTTAAGCTGGGAAACTAGAACCGCGCCTAATGGATTTAGGCAAATGGGTTTATTTTCCCGCTGACACTGAAGTCCAGAACATGTATACTGGGAGGAGAGGATTTAGATGGAATTTTAATTTTGATTGTTCTTCTATTTAAGGGTAATTTAGTCAAATAGAATGTATTGGGCTTTTAGTACCCATTGGGTTTTTGGTACCCATCCGCTGTAGAAAATTAGGGAGATTCTATTTTTAGTTTTTTTCTTCCAAAAACGACATTGTTTTGGACTAAGGTTTAGAAAACAAAAACAGAGGAAATGTGGACCCCTATTCGTGGGCTTTAACAACATTCTATCTGGGGCCTGCACAAAAAAGGATAAAAAAGCTTTGAACTCCAAGGCTTTTAACAACAAGGCTTTCTCATGATATGAAACCTCATCGACGACAATTGTAAATTAATTGTAATGCTATTTTTTTTTTCTATAACTTATGAATGACATTGGTATTGTTTATATTATAAGGATACTTGATTGTCAATTTTTTTTATATAGCTTTTAGCCATTCAAAATTGGTTGTAATACAAATGATGTAATTTATATAGAAGCTAAATCTAAGAATATATCTCAAGTTCGAATCTTCTCTTATCTATATTAAAGATATCATAAGTTCAAATCATCCCTAAAAGAAAAGGCCATGGGGTCCATTTTATCTATATTAAAGATATCATAAGTTCGAACCATCTCCACTCATAAAATGGACCCCATGCACCTCTTGTCAATGTCCACCTGCTTCAGTTCAGTTGTTCTTTAATATGCTTAAATAAATATATGCTAATTGTGAAGCACATTAATAATATTGCTGACCCACTTGCAATTTTAAGATTAGGATATACTCTACCTTTCAAGTTATGATTTGACAAACTTATTTTCCTTAGTAGGGCTTAGCCAAGTTGGCTATAATGGATATGCTTCTCTGCACCCGATTTCAAATTCCCGTCCTCGTAGTTTAAATTAGATTAAAGTAGAATATCAATTATATACAAATATATAATTAATAAATAAAAAAGTGCTACTATTTCCACCTCCTTGTCCTATTTCCACATCACCTTATCTTCCCCCACCACCATGAAATTAAAAAAAAAACACAATCCTATCTTTCCACCCACCATTATTCCTAAAATACCCTTTAATTATTAATTCAAGAGGTTAGTATTAAATTAATTCAACCAAAGCTCCCTCCCTCCCCCCCCCTCCCAACCCAACCTAGTCAACCACCTAGACCCCGCCATCGACAACCCCCTATGCTCGTCGGAAGCACCTAGTTTTCTTTCTCTTTCTTTTCCCATTCTACCATTTTCTTTCCCAAACTCAAAACCCCAACAACATAGTCAATCTCATCTTCAGACCTTCGGTAAGAATAACACGCATCTTGCTCTTCTTCAAAACCCCAACAACATAATTTGTCTCGTAGTCAATCTCATCGTTGTAGAATCAATTACATGATCTCTTGTGGGAGTTGTTTGGACCACCGGTTGTTGTTGTTGCTCATCATTTAAAATAGTTAGAAAACCATTATAGCAAACTACTTAAAAGTAGTTTCCTCCAACAATATTCTCTACTTTGGCTAATCTCTAATATTTTATTATTTCTCTATTCTCCTCTCTAAATTAAAAGTTCATTAAAAAAATTAAAATGTAAGAGTTGAGAGAGCCAAATAGCAAGTCTATTGGAGTTGCATTTTGCCTTTTTTTGTTTTGTTTTGTTTTTTTTACAGATTACCCACTTAGAAGGATTGTCGGCAATGGGACTCGAACCTAAGCCTTCATAGCAAAGAAAACGATCCTTACTAACTCAACCAACCCTCGTTGCCTGAGTTGAGGTTTTTCCCTAAGTTCGTAGAAGTCATTTTACAAAGGGGTAAATTTGTCTTTAAAATTTGGAAGATAAGATGGGTGAGGAAATAGCAGAACTCATAAAAAATAAACTTATTTCTATGTAATAAGTTTTTGTTTGACCTTGTAAATTGTGAATATATAAGAGAAACTCAAAGCCAGACAAAATGCATCAAATCATGCAATAAAATTGTACAAGAACATTATACTATATATTATAAGAGCCTATTTTGTCCCCATTTCTTTATTTTATTTTATTTATGCGGAAACTGAATTACAAAACGAAACCCCTAGCACAAGAAAGCCCAAAGAGGTCAAAATAAAAAGGAGAACAAATTGACAAAGGAAGCCCACGCTCCCAACTAATTTGCGACAAGAGCCCATGGCCCAGCTTGGAAACCGCAGTGAAGTTTGCCTCCTTAAACACATGCTGGAAGCGAACAAAAGTTGTAGAATAGCTAAGGCACCAGATATCTTGAATAATTTGTTGGATACTCCAAGGGGAAGTAACTTTTTTTAGGACGCTGTCAATAACAAGTTTAGAGTCACCTTCTACCACAATCTAACCCTAACCTCTATCAATAGCAGCATCGAGACCATCCCGAAGAGCAACACTTTCAGCCACATTTATGAAATTTTCACCAATGTTATTGGACCAGCCAGTAACACATGACCATCACTATTCCAAATGACAAAATCAGTGGTAGCTTGAGAATTAATGACAGACTCATCAAAGTTAATTTTGATCCAACCTGTAAGATGGGGGTGCCATTTTATCACCATAGTGATATCATTTTTCTTTTTGACCAAATGGTTATGTTGCCAATAATCCATACCAACAGTAGCTGCGACATGAAAACAACTAGCAAGGTGTGGTTTAGAATCTCGGAACAGCAGATTATTCCTGGCATCCTAGATGTGTGAGCAAATGAGAATAGCTTTGGACAAGTGATCCGAACTTGGGGGTTAAGTAGTGCAATCCAAAGAGGATAACCAACTAATGAAATCACCAACTTGCGAAAGAAGAGAAGGGAAAACAGAGGAACATCCCCAAACATTCCTAGCAAAGCTACAATCCACAAACAAGTGTTGAATGGTCTCAAGCTGGTCCTGGCAAAAAGGGTAGACAGGACACAGCTGAAGCATAAATCTGTGAAGTCTAGCTCTCACTTGAAGTCCTTTTCTAATAAACATCTAGGCAAAAATCTTCACTTTATAAGGAATTTCAAGTTTACACATTTTCTTGAGAAGATAAGGTTGAGGGTGGGAGGGGTGCTCCTGGACTTGCATAATATAGGCACTTTTAATGGTGAAGGAGCCACTAGGGTTAGGGCCCCAAACCATTTGATCCTGCGAATTAGAGATAGAAAGAGGAATTGTTAAAATTTTATCAACCAAATCATCATCCAAAACTTGGGTGAGTTTATTTCTGTCCCAATTGTTATTGGTAATAAAATCCCAGACTTTCGTGTCAAGATTCAAGGGAGCTCTTTGGTGCTCAAGAATTAGGCAAGAAAAGGGAAAGACAAAATCCATTGAGAGGTCCAGAAAGAGATAGAACCGCCATTTCCCACCACCCACCTAAGACCTTTGCATAAGACATGTCTTGCATCCAAAATTGATTTCCAAGCAACATAATGATTTGATTTTTTCTTGAGAGTAAAAAATTATCATGTTTGAGATATTGCTGAGTAGCAATCTTAACCCACCAATTAGAATGGTATATAAGGCATTTTCACCCTAGCTTAGCTAGAGCTGCAAGATTAAACTGGTTAGTAAGTCTGACCGCTAAGCCACCAAGGTATTTGGGAAGGCACACATCCTTCCAAGAGATAGGAGGGGTCCTATCACTACCCCAAAAAAAGGTCCTACAACATTTGTTCATTTCTTTAACCACCTAAGGAGGACATCTAAAATAGGACATCACATGATTAGGCATACCAGACACATTAGACTTAATTAGGGTCAGTCTTCTCGCCCTAGAAAGGGTCCCATAGGCCATAGAGAAAGCCTCAAGAATTGTCAAAATATTTTTAGCAGCAAGATGTGTGGCTTTAGTAAAGATTAAGCAGTCATCTGAAAAGACTAAATTCGAAATTCTGTAACCAAAAGGGGATGAAAGTAAACCATCCTGTGTCCTAGTGGAAAGAGCTAAATTGTTCAGGTGCCTGATGAAAGGCTCCATGCAAATAATAAAGAGATAGGGAGAAATGGGATCACCTTTCCTAATACCTATACAAGGGACAAAGAAGGCTTCAGGGTTCCCATTAAGAAGAATCGAGAAGGAGGTTGTTGAAATGCAATTCATGATTCTGTCACACCAGTCAACATTGAAACCAAACTTAATTAAACAAGCTCTTATGTAGTTCCAATCGAGGAGATCATAAGCTTTCTCAAGGTCTAATTTAAGTGTCATTGCACCCAAAGAACCTTTTTTCCTTTTAAAGTCACTAAAGAAATTCATGAGCAATTAAAATATTGTCAAAATAGACCTTCCAAGTGCAAAGGCACCTTGGTTTGGTTTGGAGAGATACACTTAGAAAGGATGGGCCTAAGTCTAGTAATGATGATTTTACTAATAATCTTGTAAACCACATCGTAGAGACTGATAGGCCTAAAATGACTTACAACTTCAGGTTTGTCAACCTTAGATATCAAAGAAATATTGGTTTGGTTTATAGGGTTGAGAGGAAGGTTATTCACAAAGAAATCCTTAACAAGCTGAATAAGAAGGTGCTTAGTCTCAGCCCATAACTGATGGAAAGGAAATGTTATTGAAATTTTTGGCGGCACCGCCCTCACCAAAAACATTAGTTTGAGAAAATAGTTAAAAACAAAATGAGACTAGACTTCCCAACAACTAGTTTTTGCAGTTCCTTTTGACATTATTGGTGGACCAAATAACATGTATTAGTTGGATCTTGGTATATAGAGTACAATAAGCAGATTATTGCAACCTTTTCTTTTCTTTTTTTAAATTATTATTTTGTATATCATGGGGCTTCTAAATTATGGTGGTAAAACATTTATTTCGTAAATAAAATTATATTTGTAAGAGTATTTTCAAGGGATATTTTAAATTAAAATGTTAAATTTAGATTTGATGACTTAGGTTATTTAACATTTTGTAAATTTCTTTAACTTCACCCGAAATATTAAACACTATATTATGTCAAACCATTTGCGATGAACAAAATCTATCTTGAAA